TGCCTGGCCCTACTCGCACAGCCCGACCTTGGTTCGCTTGGCCTCGGGGCCAGCTCCGCGCGTGCGAGGCTCCTGCCTGGGTGCCAGCAGCACCCGCTGGAGGCACCGCGCTGCCGAGCCGGAAGGGGACCGGAGAGGAGCGTCCCGTCCCCGCTGCGCCTTCCCCTCGCTCACAGCCGCCTCGCCTCTTCCCGAGATGGCAGCTGTGGACAGTGCTCCAGCTACTATGAAGCCCTGTTGGCTTTGCAAATATTTAAGAGCCTTTGGGAAAAAAAAAAATCACTGTATAATGAAAGGCTAGTCATGCCTATAGGACTCTACAGAAATGAAGAGGCTGTTATACAAACAAAACGCTAATTAAAACATGAAGATGTTAAAAACAAAAAAAGGGGGGGGTAGTAATATGAGAACACTTTGTTTAAAGAGAATTCCAGATATGATTTTATTCTGAATTTTACAAAAAATAAGCATTTTCCTATAAAAAACTACATTAAGAATCAACTTAGTTACAGCTAGGAATATGTACATTCTTAGAAGAAACCAGTCTTTCATTTTGAAAATATTTGTTTTTCTATATACAAGGCTGTGGCCGTTACTAGTAGGTTAAATTACCCCCCCGTGCATTTGTAAGCAACGCACTATGCTGGCTAAGTTGATTTTATGCTTTAAGCAAGCCATTTACAACTGTCCAAGATAAAGTCTGTATTCCACAAATACTAAGACACATCGATTTACTCGCGTGCTCACACACGTAGCACCTTGGAAAACGTTAGAAAGCCCCTGCGGGTGAGCCTGTAAGAGGGAACCAGCTGCAAAGCAGAGGTGGGTATAAGCCACGTTAATCACAATCCATGGGAGCAGCAACGCAGTAGTAGTGTTATCATACCCCAGAATGAAAGTCCCTTGAAAGAACAATACTTTTGCAAGGTGGGGAGGTGAACAGCGAGAAATTTAAACAATGCCCGTCCTTGTGCTGAAGGCAGTTTCGTGTAGAACTACCAAAGGGTTGTGCAATTTAAAGAATATGAGTAACAGCTGCAAACCCAGTCCTAGGCCCGGCTCGCTCCAGCCCAAGTCACCGGGTAACACACCACCACCCTACGCTTTCTTTTCTCCAATCCGTAACCTGGAGACAGGGGACCGGTGTTCACATCTGTTAACAAAACCAGAGTCAGAAGTGATCTGAACTTAGCTGCTTCAGAAAGGCAAGTGCTATTTTAAGCGCTACGTTCAGAGTCAGGAGAGTCCAAACTGAAAAGACTAACAAACGCCGAGTACGAGCAGGAACATCACCCTGACAAAACACTCCTTACGGCACCTTTGAGTTAACCACGCTTCCACTTCGCAAGCAAGGAGACCGAAGTCACAAGATTGACTCCTTTCATCGCCTTGGGGAGTCATATCTCCGAGCTAGAAACGAAGGGATCCTAGTTCCAGGCTCAGGACAGACGCTGAGTCTTCCCTGCTGAAGATGCTGCAGCGTATACTGTGCTGCAGCAGCAAATAATTCCCCCTGACCAGAAGCACAGTCTGTACTGTGGGTGTGGGTATCTGGGAGGTGCTTCCCAGGTTAAGGTTAACCTGAACGTCAAAGTCCATATTGCCCTCAATGAGCTTGTAGCTTTATCACAACTCTTCTTTCAAAGGCAAACTTTGTCCCTTCCCCCTTACAACGAGTCACTCCTTACTCCTTTGAAGATAACTCTCAGCAAAAACTGCTGGCTTTGTCAAAGTGCAACAGAGCAAGTCTTTGTTTACTGCCTAGCACCCTGCAGACCTGGCATTCAGGTGCTTTCCAACACTGTTAGCAAAAATATTCACTCTTTAGAGAGGAGACAATCTGTAATACTCCCGGTGTGACTTCACTTTAGGACTGAGCTCCTACCATGCATCCTTGTTCTGCCACTAGGCAGAGAGGAGCATCTCCCACCGTGCGAGACCGTGCGTCTCTCAAAGTCCGAAGTTGTAAGAGTGGCCCCTTGGCAGCAGAGTCTCAGAAAGTAGGTCCTAATTCTCCTCCACATCAACATAACACTCAAAGCGACCTGCCAACAAAATGACTAGAAGAAACACCACACGCTGTCCAGAAGTCACGTCTGAAAACGCAGCATTCAGCATACGCCTTTCAAAGCCTAGGTACTGCGCGGTACCAGAGCCTCAGGCATCCGGAGCCACGCTTAGCGCTGCAAGTCTTGCTCGTTGCCAGCACTGACATCACTGTCAGAGGAGGTAACTGCTGTGTCAGTTCCTTTCATCTGCGTCTTATCTGCACAGATCAGATCGCTTTCCTGTTGATGCTATTAAAATATTCCCTCCAGTTCTTTTGGGAACATATATTAGCTAGATTCTGACTACCACTAAAACAAGCTCCTTGTTTTAAAGATAAACTTGAGAATTAGAGTAGGGTAATAAAGCAACCCAGTATGCTAATATTTATCTTCTATGTTTCTGATCCACACTTTCTGTTTTTAAAAAGATTAGCAAGGAAGGAAATAAATTTTGTGACACAGGGTTTGCCATTGTGTCTTTGCAGTATTAGTCATAATTGGGAGACTCCCAATTTCGCTGGCTCAAAAATCACTTAGTAAACATTAGACTATTTAAATATTCAGGAAGAAAAGTCTCACTGTCCAGGCACATACCTGGATAAAACAGTGAAGAAAAACAACAGCTAAATCTGATGTTATTTGCACTTTAGACTTCAGGACAGGAATTTCTGTAATGGATCGCGTATCAGACAAGCATGCATCTTAACACTTCAGGGTATTTTCTGAAATAGTTTACAGGAGACACTTACGGGACGCAGTTGTTTGCATTGGCAAATGCACGACTAGGAAGTTACAGGTAAACGCGCTTTGTCTCAAATTCCTGTGGTGACCATGTTTCTTCTAAAACACAAAAGAGATTCAACATTCCAGTTCCTAATTTATTTGCAATGAATATTTCAAAAAAAGGTGAGGAACTGACAAATTACATTGTGTCTTTTGGACAAGGGGACACTCTCACCACCCTATCAGCTTGGCAGGGAGACAGGTAGTTTCATGCACTCTCCTGGCATGTATTTGCTCATCTCAAGGCCATTAAATGATGCGCAGCGAGGCTTGCAAAAATCAGATTCTCAATTTTTGCACTGGTTTCAAATCATACACTGCATTATAAACCCATCTGCTAGGGACCTGTCAATCTATCAAAACAAGAGTGACACTGAACCTGCTGAAACTCTGGGATTTCTCTCCTCAGAAGAGCTGACAATACGACACTCCGATAAAAATAAGTTTCTCTCTATCTTAATTTCTGTGACATGGTAGCATCGGCCAACTTCTTGCTACATCCAGAAACTAAAATGAACAAGTACGTGAGAAGATGCTGAGGAAGGAGGAACAAACCCTAATAATTAAGACATTTGTCAAAGGAGTTAGAAAACTACAGTATGTACAATGTTTTCCACATCTTGTTTCTAACGCAAGCAGGTTAAGAGAGCACAAAACTGCATCAATCCAACTGCTACAGTACGGATCCCACAGACAGAATATGGGGTGATGGTGAGCAAAAGCCTTCAATCAGCTGATCCTAAATAGTTAAATGCAGTAAAAAAATGCTAAACTTTCATAAATGGCTGCTGCACCAGAAAGTAAGGCCCCTAACGGCTTTTACTATAGATGTTTAGATTCTGTTTATTAAACCCTTTACAAGACAAGACAAAACACAGATAAGTGCCACAAAAAACAAAAAACCCAAATACTTTCATTATTCAAATCGGTCACAGCATAATGTAAATGCACTTTCAGAACAGCATAAACAAGATTGACATACGTGTTGTTTCTTTTTTTTTTTTTTTTTAAAAGAAACACCAGCACTACCAGGGTGCTTCTGTGACCCAAGGAATTATTTCTTGGCAGATTGTCAACATGATTTCTTTTCTTTTTTTTTTTTCTTTTTTTTTTTTTTAAACCCACTGATTTCACAATGCAAGTGAAATAACAAACCTTATAAAAATCATGCACTTGACACTTGAGAATCAGCAGCCAGAAGTTTATACTAAATATTATTCTCAGTAAATTCCTCCACATGAAGGCAATGCAGTGGCACAGAACACAACAATTTTAGCTCTAAATATTATATTGATTGTGTGTGTTGTGCACACAAGTATGTGAAAGAAGGACAGAAAGAACAACAACAGACAAGAGAAACACTCTGAAAAATAGATCTACGCTTGTTTGCGTCTGTCATTCAAATTGCATAAATGACTTTAAAAACAATTTAGACAGAAAACTTCTAATGCATATCAAACAGCAAGAACCCCAAACTAACTCCTCCCCTCCACATATAGATGACACCTTTTGCATCATTTAAAATAAATATGGCCTTCCAGTACGTCTCGTTCCAGTGTCAGGTGTAAACAATTTCATCGTATAGTTATATTTGAAAAACAGCATTGGAAACAAGTGGAATTTTGTTAGCAAAACTTCAATGCCAGAAATATTTTGTGCAAGACAATCCTCAATCCATTCAGAGTTAAAACATATCAAGTCTTAATTTAACTTTCAGAATCTTTCTTTTCATGTTTGAATTGGTTAAAAAGTTCAGCATGTGCAAAGTCACTTGAGTAAGATTACCAAGCAGCATGTTTTCATAACCTTTACTCTAATAAATAAGTTTTCTTGCACTGAAAGAGAGAAGTCAAGGAATCAAAATTAATTAGCAGCTTTTTCTGGCACATTTTAATTCTTGATATGCGTTATCTCTGGAGAAGGTTTACTGAGGAATCCAGGTACTCTGCCAGCCCTTGAACTCATTTTCAAGCATCTTTCATCTGAACTAGATGTTTAAAGTTACAAAGGATTGATCAGATACTGTTCTATGTTACTGATGCATTAGAACAAATGAGGCTGAAAATCTCGTTGAAGGCTATACAGTATTTACGGTCGTATAAAAAGAGAATGTATGGAACAGGGTGTAAATTAATAAATAAAGTTAAAATTATAGGAAGCAAAGTGTTGCCACTAGCCCTTTCCAGAAGGAATATTAGAAGAAAAGTCCATTTAACTTTTAGTCCACCCAGAAGTAGACAGGAGTTTCATCAGAGCGCTGTGCTTTTCAAAATAGCTGGATGTTCTTCTTCATCCCTTGAAACTCTTGTGCTATTAGGTGATGGCCTGTATTTTAGTCTGTAAAAAAGAAAACAAAAAAAGGAAAAAAGAAAATAACTAGTAACAAATGAATAGAGGAAAAAAATCTTTGATATCTCAAACACTATTTGACATTATAGTCTTCTAAGTTTAATATCCTGTTGGCCAGTTTCCATTTTTACGCCAGGTATATGCTTATGTACCTTCCTAAATCAGAGTCACAGCAAAAGGCCAAATATTCTCAAAGCCTTTTTAGTTCAATGGAACGAAATGGAAGAGTTCTGCTCTTCACCAGTACTTATGTGACTTAAAAAAAAAAATCTATAAAGATAAAATATTTTTTAACAGCTTTTGATCCTGCAAAATCATCTAAAACATATAGACTAGGATTAAAATAAAGACCATTTAACTAATAAGCCATTTTTAACCAGGATTGCTACCTGTCAAAAATATTTTGACTAAAACTCATAAAGTATCACTATATCTTTGAAAGCAACTATGTAAAGCAACACATTTTTATAAATGCATTCCTTTCACATACTTTTATTCAGTCAGAGTAAAACGATGAGTTTGGAGCCTAAAGATGTACAAACAAACTTAGAGTGACCAAGATTCCAACCAGGCTCTTACCTTTAACAGAAGGGTTAAATAAATTACCGAAGCCAAAACCAAATTGGTTCTTGTAAACAAATCTTCCCAACTGTTCCGTCATTCTTATAACTTGCAGAATTCTTACCAGCGCATAGCCAACTTTTAACCAAAAACGTCTATGGTGTACAGGCATATTGGCCCATGATTACTTGTGCTATAAATTCATTAGTCTGTACTGAGTCAGTCTGTTCTATTGCTGGTCTATTTTATAAATAGTAAACTTTAAATTATTTAAATACTAAGATGGAGCTATACAAGGAGAAATATACATATACACATGCATGTATATAAATTTATAGATAGAACAGATATACCAAGAAAGAAGATTAGAAGGCAACACTTACCCTTTCACCGTGAGCATTTGCTCAGTTGTGTCAGGAAGAGGCATACCATAGCTTTCTGGCAGAAATAAAGTGAGAATTCCTGATAGTACAGTCAGGCTCCCCATGAGGATGTAAGGCAGAAATCTATCATAGGCACCTAGTAGAACACAAGAAAAGTGAACATCAACCGTAAGTTACCAATAACATTCGTATCTACAAACTTGGGTACATGGTTTCATCCCTGCAAGGTTTAAGCTTTCAGTTAAAAAAAAAAAAAAAAAAGGTAAAAAGACCCTCAGAGTCTAGCACTCAAAGTATATGTAGATTTATATATGGTTTTGGGAACTCAAGAGACTAGGAGACAATGCCTATGAGAGTGGTTTAAGTTGACCCTACTAAGTCAATAAGATTGCGAGTCTTTAAAATACCTCTTCAATAAGCCTGAAACCCAATTTCTCTGTGTTATGACTATTGTCTAGTGATGTCTTGAGATCCTCCTGTTTTTAACAGCTGAATAAAAATACTATTGCAAGGGATAATTCCACTACATCCTAAAAATCAATCCAGCCTAAACAACCCTTGTAACCTGAGGCTGAGCAAAAAAGAACAGAAGCAGTCACTGTTTGGTTACAGCATGCTAGCATGTTACAGCTAACACAAGACATACATCAAAGCTATTGTCTTGAACCATCCTGTGTGCAATATGAAAACAAATAGATGTAAAGGATTCTAACACAAAGGCCAAGATTGGTATGAATGGAGAATATTCCACCCACATGGAGGATGAGAGTGTCTGGGTGTGCACATCTACCTGCAGTTTCACAAGATGCCCCAGAACCTGGAGACAAAGAACAGTCAGCAAATCCCAATGACTCGCAGAGGTGGGACACAGGTCACTGTCAGCTCCAAATGGGTAAGCCTATCCAAAACCTGCACTTGGTTGCCAGCCTAAGAGGAACCCAGGAGCTCGACACATGTCTTTGATGCACGCATTCTGGTGCTTGTAAGGATGACTGAGAGCGTGAGTGCAAGTGAGTGAAACCTATTTTATTTCAGCTTATTTTACATCGAATCACCTTCCCCTCCTATAAGGTCTTGCACTGATTTTGCCTATGTTGTGGCTACAATGTTGCAACAGCATTTCCCACACAGAAGACGGTTTAGACGCAATTATGTCAGTAGAATTAAGTATTTGAAACAGTACTTTACAAATACCAGCATCTGCCCGGTAGCCGGTGCTGGACAAGCAGTCAGTAACTTACCAAGGTAAACAAAGTAAGGTGAGAGGATACTGCCTAGCCTGGAGGCCATGGAGCTTGCTCCGACTCCCATGTTTCTCACTACTGTTGGGTAGAGCTCAGCCGTGTAAACATAAACCATTGAAAAGGCAGATGTGATCCCAAATTTCCCTAGCATCACCAGGAGAATAGATAGGACACGAATATCTGAAATCAAAAGGCAGGAAGACCTTCAATACAACTCTGACTAATCACCGTATCTATTAATTTCACTGTGATTGCATAACTCCCGTCTAATTAATTAGAGTAACTAGTGTCTTTTTTTCCAGTACAAATCTACAAGCATGAGCAACTTTTATTATTGCTAGGACTCCAAGTCCTTGCTCATTCCCTTTTGTTTATCCTTTGATTCGTAAACACGTGTTATAAACATATCTCCCCACTCCCCCCCCACCCCATAACCATATTCAACATCATTATTAGAAAGAGACCATAGCCATCTTAATCTAACTGGCCTAAAGACATGCATGGTTTGGTATCCAATAAATGTTATTTTGCCCTCCTTTTCAGTTGCCCAACGTTGTTTTAAGTATCAGCATTTGTTCACTACAAGCTTCTTCGCTTATCAGAAAAGCTTCCACAACGGCTTTCCTAGAACACAACCTTTTCATAAGCCCTAAAGAGAAAATCATCACTGACAGTTGTTCGGGAAGTACGTTCTGCAGCCTCTTGGTAACCTCCATTTAGACTAGTCCTAGTTTGGCTCTAGGACCTTGCCAGGGCCCCTGAGATGTACATTACGGTAAAACTGGACTGCAGTGCTGATCCCAACACATCACAAAGCACATGGCCCACCTTTAGAAAAACGTATCTTAACTGACACGCTGTGTGAGCCCCCTACGCAGAAGCACTGGGAGGCAAGGAAGATCAGCGAAGACAGCAAAAATTATCTACATTTAGTCCCCTCAGGATACTTTTTGTCCACATCTGCCCAATCTATGCCAGTGGACTTCACCTAGCAAACATGTTTGATATCAACTAACGATTCCGTACGTGCAGGCACCAGCTGAATGAAGAGAAGAACACAGCCTCCTAAGAATAACGCAGCAGCCATTGAATACCGTCGGGGGAAATTGCGAAGCAGCAGCCAGGAAATTATATAGGCTGGAACTTCAATCACTGCTGAGAGGAAGCAGTTTACATAGATGTCTCCATGCAAGTTAGGTGTGTCAAGTGAAAGTCCAAAATAACCAATAGAGATTATCATCCTGAAAGAAGCAGAAGAACAGTATCAGACAGATTTGCTCTTCTTCCTGAGGTTCATAAAGACACAAGTTACCAGGAACCTCTTTACATCTCTGTCAAGCACAGAAATCACAGTTTCACTGTGTAAAGCAAATTCAACGTCTATGCTACTCTTTCAGCTTTGAAGCAAGCATCTAAAGTGCTCAGTTCAGAAACAGCAAAGTAACAGTTACGCAACGCTGCTGCATTTTATTTGTTGAGTTTCTCTGGAATTCAAAGATTTAAAAAAGAAAAAAAGATCCTATTCAGCATTAACATTGCTAGGCAAGCCTGGAGCTGTTGCTAGCCTTGCTGAGGCACAGGTCTATGAGCTCACCCGTGCTGGATGTTCCTGCAGCTTCAGTGATCGTCGTTTCTGCTGCCATTGCATGGCTTTGCAATTATCCATTCCACTCTCATTCAGACCTTGCAAAAAAGCTCTCAGTATCTGTCACACTTAGATCTTATTTGTCCCTGCTCCACAGGCCAATGGAGAGGGGCTGACTGCTTCTCACATATGACCCCACGCTTCAGGCCACCCCTGAGAGAGAAGCCGTTCACCCATAATGTAGGGATACAGAAGTTTGTACTTCTAGCGGTTATAACCTTAGCCCAAAAGTTTAGACTACTGAATTTAGGCTGCTTCTTGCAGTTGAGGCTCTTGTTTATGTTTAAAAAGAGAGAGTAATAGCGAACTCTGGGGAGACAGAATTGGTTCCGTGTCATTACCCTCCCTGCTTTGTGCACAAAGTCAGAGAGGAGGAGGATGGTGTCCTGGTAGACCCAAGCTGGCTGGACAGCATCCAAGTCACGTTAGCGTGGCTCTGCGCCTGGGTCAGGCAGTATGACAGGACAGTCCTCAGTAGCAGGGAATATTCCCATCTTTACTGTGCCACTGCCAGATTAGAGTTGGCTCCCATTTGGTCAGAGCACACAACTGTCCTTGGAGACAAATCCTGCGGTATCTTGGGAGACGTTGGGAGAAGGTTATACTTCACCAACAAGTAACAAACGGTAAACAAGGAAATAATGGACACTGGATCAGGATGTGTAAAACAATTAGGCACAGAGCACTTAGCACTTCCTTTCCTTCAGCATTTATATTAGGACAGAACCTAGAGATGTTAAGCGAAACGCTGCACAGCACAAAGTAGATCACTGTCCCTGACAGAAAGCTTATGACTGAAGATTATTCTTTCTCTTCCTTACTTCAAATGGGAAGAGCATTTATGGTCCAATTGCTTAAAATAAAGTTGTCAAGTATACCTGGGAAGGCACAAAGCTGGATGACTACGGGTAAACCCGCATTTCTGTGTATGATCTGCCAGCTAAAGCTATTCTTTTCAAAAGTAATTATTATGCAGTGTTTTCCAAGATGCTGCACAAAATACCCACCTCCGTGCTCCCAGGAGTTATTGTTACATGCAATAAACTATCTGATCCTGCTGGAACTCACTTTCAGTAGAAGTTTGCCATAGCTCATCATATTGGCAACGTTCACACAGGTATAAATTTTCCAGGAAAAATTCAGGAGTATTTACACGTTTCAGGGTGAGGAGATGCCGAATTTTCTCCTCCCTGAGGCAAAACTATCAGAGAGAATAGCTTAAAGGCCTGCTACCCACTCAAAATTAATAAGACTGTTTCAAACCCATTCAAACCCGCATACTATTTCACAGTATGTGACGGTAATGTACTGCTATCTGCAACAACCCTGTTTTATAGAGCTTGTGTGAGACCCTCCAAACCATAGCTCCGAATATACCATCTGTGGGTCAGAAAACATTGCCGTGGATCAGTATAGGATGCTTTATATTTTGGGAAATGATTTAAGAGGAGGTTAAGCAACTGATATGCAAGGTAAAAATAGCAGAAAACTAGCCCGAATCCACTGAATACTTTTCTGCAAGATTCGCAAGAGCAGATAAGATTATGCAAGTCAGTTGCATATGTTTGGCTCTTTCTTCCTACTGCAAAACTCCTTTACTAGGCAGTAAATAGTCATTTGGTATACGGAGTGGATTACGTACTGCCACGTCACTGTGCTTCTTCGAAATTATTTGTCCTGCCAGAAATGCTGTTCAAATAGGTTTCACAATTGGTATAGGTATATATCCATGGGCGCAAAACTGGCTGTGCCTATGAACTCTACTGATTTATTCCATGCAGGCTACAAGAAATGAGGCAGTCTCAATTCTCTAGTTCACTTCCAATGAGAGATGAGAGTCAGCATTTGGAGTTAGAGGCAAGGAAGACAACAGTATATGGAAACTGCATTGACATATCCTCAAAGAAACAACGTGCCCTATCTTTTCTGAGATGTTCTCCTTTCAAGATCCCTTCTCAGTATGTCAGGAGCACTGTGCTTTGCAATGGGCAAGAGAAGCTAGCCTAAACATCAGCCAAATCATCACCTGATCCAGAAAGCCACAGCAGCTTGCACACACCGGTAAAACAGCAGACTAAACTCCAAGCTTTTGCCTCACTAAGGCAAAGGAACGTCATTCGAAGAGGCAGCAAATAGAGTTAAATCCATCATAGTTGAGGGACTTTCTTGGTTAGGACACAGTAGGTACATGCACTAATTACATTTCACTTGGATAGTCTCTGACAGGATGTAAGTTACCCTCTCCATTTTATCGCTTCTGCAAACACAAACAATATCAATTAAAGCCTCACTGAGATTTCCAACACGGGAAAGTGGCAGCTGTTTAACCACACTGAGTAAAAAGTTTTGCTTCAGCTAATGCAAAAAAAAGGTTGAGGATGGCAAGTGCACGGACTGGCTAGCAGAAAAGTCTAGGAAAATCTCAGACTAGAACTTCAAAGGCAGCTTTATCCCTTTAAGAGGCAATATAAAAAGATAGGAAGATTTTCCCCACAAGTCAGCCAGTGCTGCATTCAGACCCCTGGAAAGTAGTTCTCCAACTGGGGACAGGGCAAAAATCATTCCTCTTAGAGACTTCATTCCAGGCGAATGAGAATTCCCCGAGTCCTAATACTGGGAAGGATGCCTATACCTCATAGTCAGTTGATTTGATTCTTGCTTAGCTCAGGATAGGCTAGACTGCTTCTGAAGGAAAAAACAATCCAGATGTAATTCTAGACTGTTGCTGAAATGAAGAACATATGTAACCAGAATCATTCAGCTTCAATTTAGCTCACTGTTTTATGAACTAACCAATTTTGCCCATACCTCTTCAGAATACCTTAGAAGTTCTTGCAAAAGTGCTCAAAGATCAGTTTCTTATTGTTTTGCTGCATGCGTGCTTACATACTCCTGAACCACGTTTTTTCCTTACCAGAGAATCACTGACATAATTGTGATAGTTCGGATATTTTGGGTTTTCACTAGATCCAAAATGGTGTATACTTGTTGGTTCTGGGAATTCAAGTCTTGCAGCTGGAAAGAAAAAACAAACACGGGAACACTAACTTCCTGCAAACAGAATTATTGTGAAAATAATACCCCCAAAACAATTGATACATCAACATTTTGACAGAGCCTTGGTCCCTTTCAACATGCTGCAGAGCAGGAACATGGTGTCTCAGTTTTAACCAAAGGGGTATCAGCCGTAAGAACCAACTACTTGTGAAAGCTGTTCTTCCTTCCTGATTTAAAGTCACTTAAAACTTAGGCTCAAATTAACACTAATTTTCTCTACCTGAGGCCCCATGAAACAACTGCTTATTGTTACTTTTATATTTGAATAATAAAGCAATAGCATTAATTTACAATTTATATGTCACTACTGCCAGAGTTCTTAAGTCCAGTTTTGAGCACTGCACCTTGAGGAGCGTGCAGATTAACTACCAAGACGAGAGCAACAAGGATGATGAGACATTTAAAAAAACGTCATCTGTAAGAGAGTGAAAGAATGGGGTTTATTTAGCCTAAGGGCCAGAAGACTGAGGGAGTATTAAAATATTGAGAATGGTCTTCAAAGACTAGCAAAAGGAAGAAAGCAATAAAATGTCCTCTACATCCTCTGCAGACAGGACAAGAAATAACGAGATTAGAGTGCAGCAGGAGAGATTTAATAAATGATTCCTCATGCTGGACCTAACAGTGATGTATTTAAACCCTGGGATAAATTACTTGATGAGCTGAAGAGTTCATTGTTATCTACTCCGTTTTTAAAAATCTCCTTCAATGAATCTAAGCAAAAAGACAACACATCTTCCTCTCTCTTCCTCCTGAAACCTCCCAGCTCTTCAAAATAAAACAACTTCCACATAAACAACACAAAGATACTTGTGCATGAAGCATGCTAACAACTTTTGTGCTTCATAAGATTATATAAAAGTAAAGAATTTTTAAGATTGGCGTTTGATTTAGACTCTTAAACAAGCAGTAACAAGGGAGTGATTTTTCAAAACATGTTAAAGGTCACCTAAGAGCATGAGTTTCATTGATTAAAACTGAACTCTGACAAAGTAACATTATATGGCTGAAAAACTAGTTTTCTAGACACGCCATAATTTGCTATCACAAAAGATACTAGGTTTCAGGATTTTATCACAGACTACTTGCTTATCAATTTCATGCTGATTTTTTTATAGTCTCATAGTAAGAACGTTAACAAGATCTTGGTCTTACAATTTTCCACATGGATACAAAATATCCTAATAGGAAAAGAATCTATGTGAATCTGGAAGTCTATTAACAGTTAGAAATCTAACAAAGAAAGAAAGAAACAAACAAACAAAATGAAAAAAGTAATAATACTGAAATATTTTTAATTTCAACATCTATCGAATTGTTAGCTGTCTTGGGAGCTCACAATATTTAAGCAAAGACTTGTCTTTCCATAACTAGAAGAATTACTCTTGCCTGACAGAGCTCTATTATGTGCAGACACAAAAAACTGTATACAAAGATTTCTTCCTCCCATGATTTTCCAATTCAGCATGACTGGAGAATGTCAAATATTAGTTGGGTACGTTTAAGGACTGAATGCCTTTTGTTGGCACTCGGTACTCCTTCACGGTGTGTGTACACAGGATTATTAGATAAAAGTAAATTATGATTGTAGCTTCGAAATAATGCAATCACTAACTACTTCAAACTTTTCAGAAGTCTTGCTGTCTGATCTAATATAATATACTGTACTCTGTTCTAGCTTTCTCCTTAAAACATCAGACTAGGCTAGTGGAAAAAGTTAGATGTGCTCTAGGACAAAACACACACTATCAAGGGACAAAAGCAACCGTTAGTTTAACTTAATTCTCAAGAATCTCTTCATAATCAGTTTGTGCCTGTTTCTTTTGGCAAGCTAGTTCCTGGAGACTGACTCAGGACCGTTAACTCTTGTCCCTCAACTTAAAATATATATTACCTCCTCAATATCTTGTAAACACAGGCGTCATTATAGTTGGTGCAATGTCTGTATTCAGGTGAAAACCACTTCTGAGGAATATTTTTCTCTGAAGACCAGGAGGATAGAACAGTGACCTGATGATCACGCACTCCAGGCTTCACTGTGTTTGCTTTCATGAGACTTCACTCTCTACTCAGGAAAACAGTTCTCTATATTTTATAGTTGTCACACTGCCTGAAGACAAACCTCCCAAGAGACAGGCTGCAGTCAGCTTTGCAGCTCACAGCCCTTTCTCATAAATCACATGATCTTTCCTAAGGACTCTCCAGTTTTGCCACTATTTGTTGCCAAGAAACCAACAACAGGAAACAAAAAAGAAAAAAAAAACAAACAAACCACAAAACAAACCCAGGAAGACAGTACAATTCAAACAGTCACAGTCTATGAGAGAGAAGTGCCCTGCCTCTCAGCAGCTGGATAACCAGGCAGCGTAATCATTAACAGGACAGGCCAGAGCAGGAAAATATGAAAATGGCTGGGAGGGCAAAAACCATACTTATCATCCAAAAATTTAATCCCCTTCACATGGAGTAACTCAGCACCTAGTTACACTGCGCGGTTCGTCTGCAGCTAGTCACCTGCTGGATCCTAAATGTTTTTAGGTCTCTGGGGTCGAAATACCCCAGGTGCTGCTTTCCAGCTGCATGGGATCAAGGAACGTTCTTGAGATGGAAGCTCTGTCCAGCCCTCCAGCCAGAACGCACGTTCCAACTGCACGAGGCCTAAGGTCCAGCCGGGATTTCTGAGAATCTCTCTGCAGTGTAAACAGACTTCCTAGAAACTCAAGAGACGATGCACACCACCTGCTTTACAGTTTAAGTCTTCAGAAAGCAAACAAAAGAACAGGGTAAACAGACCACTGCTGAAGCAAGACTTTGCACAGATTATTTTGCCACAGTATTATTTTACTGTGACAAAAAGATGGTCAGGAGTTTTAGAGTTAAACGAGAGCCCTTTAGTCTAGCTCATTTTCCTCTGACTGCCAGAACGTTAATCTGCATTTATGGAAGTCAATGTGCTCTGGTTTATCTGTTTGATCGCAAATAAGCGGTGTGTACTCCAGCCCACCCAGTGGCAGAAATCAGCGTTTCTCCCTCAGTCCGGTGTTCCCTGGACAATATCCCTTGTCTAGTCCTTGCCTGCTGCTGCTCCATAACCTAGCCCCCTTCAGAGGTGGCAAACAGATTAATATTTCTTTCAAAGAAAGGGAGGTGGAACTGTCCCAGGGGCAGTGGCCTTAAGCAGATGTTGGAGCTCAGCTTCTGTTCTCCTCCTGGGGTGCTTGGGAATAGGTGAATTTTCATGCCTACAGCATGAGGAGGGCAGAGAAAATATGTTCCAATGAAAATCCATGGGAAAGGCCATTATTAGAAGGTTTAGGTTTTCCCGGCATTCTCAGTCTATTCCAGCCAGATCAGGATGTCTGTCCCACTTTCTACAAATACATCAGCACAAACAGGATCGTGTGCACCTCAACTAACTTGAGCCCAAGCTGAAGCTGTTTCAATCTCAATAGCAACACATTACCGTTCAATGGCTAACCATCTTCCTCAGTATGGCAGAGAGAGGCCTTGTAAACAAAGTGAATACACAGGGTACAGCCACGTTAACAGTAGATCAATTTTCATAACAACAACTGGAAAGTGTCACCTATCAACCAGAACACAACTGGGTAACTGTGCCCCGACACACTCGACAGATCCGCCCACAGAGGTTCCCGTTCTCCTGGATTATGCAAACGATTTGTCCGTCTGACTTCTGGAGGTCACACTGAATGCGTTTGGAGCTGCTCCTACACTTTAAGGCCGGCAACAGCTCAGACAAAGGGGAAAAGCCTAGAGGAAACAAGGCCATATTGAAGGAAATGGATGAGGAAGAAAAGATATTGCTAGATATTCCAACCTAAAGGGGATCGAGTTTGACCTCTTTTTAACATGGAGTAGAAACTGAACCAGAATTCCATTATTTCCAGGGCCAGTGGTCAGGATTAGTTCTGTATTAGACTGGGCAAGCATAAAATCTGTTCAGAGCAGAGGCATTACTATCTGTATCTACTCACTGGGACACAGATAGTTCTGTGCAAAAAGATCAGCAGCTAGAGGGGGAAAAAAAAGAGTAAGAGAGACCAAGAGCTTATACGTTCTTTGCTGGGTCCAAGACGTACTCCTTCTCAGAGCAACATGGCCAGGTCCCAGTGGCCTGAAAGACCAGAATCCTGGGATGTTTGTCAGCTGCCTGGGCTAAGATTTACTGTACTCACTGGGATAAGCCAGACGCTCTGCTAGTTTGCCACTGGCTTCATAGGGTTATCTTTAGATCAAAAAACGATTAGCATACAATTTCTCCAAAATTCTTCCCCCAAAAAGCTACAGTTCAAAAAGGAAAAGATGGCTGTGAACTGAATGAAAAGGCTGTTTGCATTAGAACACTGCATGGGACTGAAACGGCAAGGGCTTTACAAGTCTTAATGAACTGGGGGAAGGATATTCCGCTTCAAGGCTTTTCAAAAAAAATGATGACATTTTACCCATTTGAGAAGCGCATAATATGCCACAGGCATAACTCAGGTCATATGTCTGGAAACTTATCACTTTGCATAGCCATTAATAGGTCCAGCAAACAACTCCACTACTAAATGAATTTTACCTCAGTAGGGTCAAGTATTACATCTGGGGCTGTAATGCCATTAATTTTCGCAGCCTTTCGGATGATGGCTTCTGCCTCTTGAAATCTTCCCTGAGAGATCAGCCATCGGGGAGATTCTGGAATGACCCTGCAAAAAGGTTCAGAATAAAGCGCCTGCATTTCCAGAGACAGCAGTGCTGCAGACACCAATACCACTGTTCCAAGCACGAAGAGCTGAAAACTCGCCATACCTTGCAGGAATTAAAGCAACAATAACAGAAATCACAGAGTCACAAAAGCAGATTAGTAGACTGAAAAAGAACAGACTAAAATGCATTCATGGATTTAAGAAACACTAAGGAACTGAGCTACGATTTAGGAAAAAAAAAAGCAACCAACACTTTCAAAGTACGGAGAAAAAAGGTTTAACTAAAGGGATTCTGAAATGTGAAAATATAAGCAGCATTCTGCATATTAAGAGGTAAACGCTTAGAGAGTAACACACAAAATTAGTGATCGTAAATACTGTCATATAGTCAAGTCAAAAAGGGGAATTCACATGAGTCATTCAACCTCCTAAGTGAAACTGGATGGAATTAAGACTACACTTGCCAGTATAAAGAGAAGAAACACCACCACCATGTGGACTATTTAAACTTTACATGCCGCTTAGAAGTAGTAGTTCACTAACTATTGAAGAAAATACTGAAGTCTCACAGATATGCAACTACTGCTTTTCAGCTTGTACTGCTTTGCAGCTGGTTATATCAGTGTCACCCTCATCATTGCCTGGCTTTCCAAAATAGCTGGTTTCTCATTCTGACCTTAACTCAGACCTACTCTTAAAGCTCATGGATTTCAGCTGGTGCACGAATAAGTGAATTCTTTTGAAATGATAAGCGAGAGCTCACCTTTCAAAAAGCAAAGGATGGATTTGAGTAGAAAGCAGCTCTAAGCCACATTTCAGCCTTCACTGATCAGCCCCCAGGGTAACCTGATGCAAAGGGGAGGCAGCAGGTCAGAATCTGGTGCACTGTTCCTAACAAACTTTAACTTAACATTGCTTGTTCACTGCCTTGTTTGACTGACAGCTGCAACGGTGACAATAATCCTGAGAAAAGTGTCTTCTATCTATGAAGCAATATATTTGTTATAAATGTTTTTCTTTTTTAATTATACTTTTCTTCCTGGTTCATATTACCTTTCATCAGTTTTGACTTTTTTTCTTACAAACTAGCATATTGCTGTATTTTCAGGTTGTAAAAGGTGCAGGAGAGAAAGGAATTTTACTTTAGAAAAATCTGCTCGAGTTCTAATTGTATTACAACGTAGAGAAATACTTCATTTTTTTAGTTTGTTTTTATCTTCATCAAAACAACGCACAACATTTGATGCCAGTTTCCTGCTAACTACAGCTATACAGGAGACTATCTGTTTACTTTTTCTTCAAAGAAAAAACTGTCTTCGGATCACATATTTTCTGCCTCTATTTAACCAACGCCAAGCAGCGAAGCCAACTATTTTTGCTGGTTCGTTCTATTCAGAAACAGCAAAACTTTGTTTAAAAAAACACCCAAACCGAAGAAGGAGTTCTCAAGTATTTCCAACAAACATTTACAGTGAGACAAAGAAGTAGGAGATGAATAGGCAATATGAGAAGGCCTACTCTAGCTGATAGGAAAACAAAAACTGAACATCAGCATCCTATAGCCTTTCCAAACAGCACTGGAGACCACCATAAAATTTTCTCCAGGCATGAGGGCAAGAAAATATGCTAATGCAAAGTTGGGATTGCCTTGTGGTATTTGGCACCCTTCTGGAATGCTCACGTTGGCAAAAGTCAAACCCCTGAAAACCAGTGTAATGTTGTGTAGCTATGCACTTAAACGCTATCCTCTGAAGCTGGCAACAGCTTCCGGGAATTAATTGCTTGCATTCCAGCTACACTGAGCACTACAGCAGTAGCAACACTGAGCGGTGGAAGGATTCTTTGGAGCAGCCATAGAGCTGCAGGGCTTCTGACAGCTTCTGCACGTCAGAAAAGAGAGGTACACCTGTGCCCTGACAGATGCAGCACACCTCATTTCAGCACTGTGTCACGTAAGCCACCTTGGTGAAGTGGCTCAGGGTTATCTGGACGTGGATGCTATCAGCAGGTAGGACACAGTTAAGAGCGTGGCCTGTGGGTAAATGAAAATACAGTGCCAATGACGTCACGTATAAAAGCTATTGCCAGTGAAGGGAATAAAGAGAGGTAACAGTAAGCAGATGTGTCTGTGTGAGACTGCAACAGACATCTGGCTACAGAACTTCTGTTCAGAGTGTAAATGCAAAGGGAGCATGTGAATTAAGAATGTCAGAGCCTTACTCAAGTAGAGTAGAATTATTACACGAGTATGCTGCTTTTGCTGCATTTCTTAGTTTTTGGAAATTTAAGTGTAAAAATATCATTATTTCTTTTTTTTTTTTTCCCTCTCCAAAGGATGAGTTTTCTTAATTTTTTATTCCTTTGCACACGCAATCCCTTAATTTTCTAGGAGCCTACAGAAAATGAAGAATAGGGTTTTCAGGTATGAGTTACGGATTGCTCGCACAGCTATAGATTCACGTCTAAAAGATCTTGGGAACAGGAAAGGATATAATGCCCATTCTTCCACCTGCCCACTCATGGGCTTTATTGTTAAAGGCTGGTGGGCATGGAGTCTGGATCGTAGAAACCTGCCAGCAAGACCTTCTAAAGGCTAATGTCTTTACTTAGTTACACTCACCACCAGAGCGCAACGCAGAGCAGCCCAGGTAAAGTAAGAGCGAGAAGCAGCGTCCGCCAGTCTCTCAGGAAGTAAGCAAACAGCGGCAGCAACATATAGCCAAATGCATAAAATACGCAAACGCCTATTGTGCAGAATAGTATACGAACTGATTTGCCAAGAATTTCGGTGCCTGTTAAAAACAAGAGAGTGAAGATTAGTATTTTAACTTAATAGCAACCAAATAACTTACCAAAAATGACTTTAAAAATTGTTTTTGAACTATGTTACATAGGGTAGTTAAAGTAAATAACACTCTCTGCCCTCCAGTTTTAGAGGCACCACAGAGCTACTTTGTGCAAAGATCCTGCATCGATCCAAGCGATTCTACAAGGGAAGAGAACTAGGCCACGCAGCGTTCCTGCAGCCGTAAGTGGCTAAGGTTTCTGTAGTTCTGCGTTCTTGGACTCCTCCGTTTCACGTGAAGACTTAAAAACACCAGAAGTTGTAACTACAAAACATTCACACCGGTTAACTTCAGCTCGATCTCTATAGGGCCCTCTCCAGCTTACAGAGAGAGACCAGCTTCTTCAAAGAATAACTCAGGTGATAAGCCTGAATTAGGTACCTGCCGTGTATCTATCACCTTCTAAAAGACTATTTCTCTATTAACTGGAAAACTTGCAAACGCTTGGAGCCTGTACTTGAAGCTCATGCACGGCAACTAACAAAGGCCAGGCTACTGTGAGCTGAATTACATGCACTAACAGGGGTCAATGCTTCCCTTTAGAAACATTTAGGGACCTGCAAATCAAGAGGTTGAAAGAATATAATCTTCATTTCTACAGAATCTACAGAGATTACAGAAGGTGCAGCACAAGCTCTGCTGTGAAGCTAGCCAAACACTGTTTTCACAGCCTGTACTGGCTTTCTTAGGCTCAAAAGGAATCTCTTGCCAACATTTGTTGCTTTAGACAGTTTCTGTAATTAATATTAATTGAAAATAATTTTTTTTTTTTAATCTCAGATTCACAAGGGACTTTACATCCCCTTCTAACGATAGTCCCTTAGCTAAACTAAAAGTACACAAAGCAAGAATCATTATGCCATTTAGTTTTTACTCTAGGCTGTTTTAAGGAGACTTTATAATGTTTTATTTTTTTTTTCCTTTTATAACTTGTATATGAAATAGGCATGTAGGCCCTAAATGGAAAATACAAACCCCTGGAAATCATGTCCAACTAAAAAATGGATTTTGCTTCAAATAATTGATTTCTGTTTTTTACCTTTTAGAACGGTAAGCCACAGAATGGATTCAGACTGCATTTCTATCAACTGGAAATTTCCAGAGAGAGCATGAATTATTCATGCGGGGTGAGGACATACTCTTAACAGCACTGCTTGGCAAAACAAAGCAACACTGGCCAGTATTGAAAACGAGCAAGGAAGAAAAGACAAGCAGAGAATGCATGCTATGCCAAATAGCAGTCCATACCAAGAACAAACGCTGCCACGTAGTTAGATATCTGTCCCATGCCGACCAGCACAAAGAGCACTGAAAACATCTCCCAACTGGTACAGAAGACCTGCACGAAGCTGAAGCCAGTCTGCATTCCCATAGTTACAAACAGAACATTCTTCCTGCCAAACCTTCCATGGATAGATTTAAAAAAAAAAAAAAAAATTATACAATAGCATGAAAGAAATCCTCAGAAATGAAAAGACAAGATTACTCATATGCATATTTAGACAGATATAAAATACCTGCAGAAAGCAGAGGTTAAGGAAACGTGAGACATACAACTTTTCTAAATACGTTAAGAATTTCACTGGCCAAGAGGGAATAATATTCCACAGCCTCAATTTAAGCGCAACTTAAACTTTAGGGAAGTGATGGAACACTATTCCCTCTTTACCGATAAGATGAACAGGGAGATAAATCATTGGGAAATAAGTTAATTAAAACTTAACAGCAGTGTTAGATGTTCTTTCTCTTCTAAGTTGCATTCAGTCCATTATATAGATCAGCACTTTAAAAAAAAAAAAGAGAAAAAGCTTTCAGAAGAGGTAAAACTCTGGATTGTAAGAAGCTATGATTAGCGAGGGATTCCATGCTGCAGTCTTGTTCTACTTGGTAAAAACGAACTAAATTTAAGGAATTTTAGCAGTTTTGAGGGAGTGATATATTAAGCAAAAATAAAACAAACTAAACTAAACCCAACCCATGCTGGGTTCAATTACAAGAGAGTCGGTCCCCATGTCTTGGTCTGGGTATCTATATAACTAAGTAGGCTTCTCGGGCTGTGACAGGAAGGTTGATGAGTACAGGTTCCTGCAAACCCATTTCGAAACTAAACTTGACCACAAAATCTACAGTTGTGTGCTATAATGCTTAGAGAGATTAGAATGATTTAAGAACAGACCACCAGCAAAATACTTTTTCAGCCACCTACTACTTCTGAACTATTGATTCACCCCGACACTCCTGCCAGGTGTACAGGGCTCAAGCTCACTGCAAGGCTGTTTCTGTACCAGACCAGTAGATGGTGGCAGACTGTAACAGTATAAGATGGAGTGCAGGCTTGCCAAAATAGCCTACTCAAAGCGGATGCTAGATGCACTTGGTCTTTTGACCATGAACTAGTTGCCCTTCAGTGGTTATGAGAATATCCGGATGAGCTGCACTGTACATTTAGCAGTATTTGTGCATTTCTTCGCCCTCATAGCTACCACTAGAGTCTCCAGTAGTTGTCCCATCTTCTAGCAGGCTGGGAGAGTCTAAGAGTCATTCCTCAAAGGGAAAGGAAAACACAGCTAGCAGAGGCAGCCAACAGACACAACAGTTCGTGCAGCGGTTCACACAGAAGAGGCCAGCAACGCTTCTCAGAACAGCATCCACATCCACAACAATGCTGGTGATGCACTGCAGGGCACAGTCCCCAGCAGCTGCTGCAGCAGCTAGCCTTGTAACATCAGACACCGTGACCCAGATGGAGGTCTAGAGCAAAGATGCAGCTCTGCAGGTCTTGGGCTGCAGGGAGAGCCTGGGGCCTCTCGCTGAGGCAGCAGCAGATGGTCTCAACTGCAGAGGTGTATTTGTCGAGGATCTGCGTCACAAGTAAAGCAGCTGCAGGAAAGGTCAGCACAGCATCAGAGGCGATGAATAAGAGACTGACCCAGCACTCCTCCAAGGCTCTGCAGCTTCAAGATATCACCCTTCCAACCCTACCAAAAGGAGGAGCAGAAAAAGCCTGAGCTTTTTGGGTTTGGAAATGGAGACTCTCATGATGAAGGCTGGAAGCTTGTGACTTTTGGCATGAAGATGACACCTCCTGCTCCACTGCAGACTAGCGACTATGAAAGAGATTCAGTGCCCTTATAGCTGACGAAGGGCTGGGAGTTCTGTCAAATGAAGCATCTGAACCAGAATGAAGTTGTGAGTGAATACAATGGGGGAACCCACATCTGCTGTCCTGACCCACCATCTAGGGAGACCTGCTGCTTTTTGAGGATCTGGGACCTTGTGGAAAGAATGCCAAGGCTTGTCCCGCCCTCAGACTATTACCCCCCCCCCACACACACACACACACTCTTCCAATGTAGGCAACAATGATACCACCAGGGGAGACCTGGAAAGCATGAAGTATGACTGCTTGGTGCGAGAGGCTATGGTCAAGGACATGGGGGCCCAGGCAGTTTTCTCCTTGATCCTGCTGGTAGTGGGGGAAGTGTTTGAGGAGGAGTGGACCTATCCTGCTGGTCAACAATTGGTTGCGCAGCTGGTATCAGCACTAGCCTTTTGTTATCTGTGACCACAAGACCCTTTTTGAGGAAAGCACTGCTTGGAAGAGACAGGATCCACCTAAGTGGGGCAAAAGCATCTTTGCCAACAGGTTCGGCAACCATGTGAGGAGATCTGTAATCTAGGAATGACAGGGGAGGGAGAGGACAACCAACAATCAAGTGAGGAAGTAGTGGACTGTGAAATCAGCACAACTGCGTGCCTTCCTCAAGTGCCTGCACACTAATGCATGCAGGGTGGGAAACAAATGGGAACAGTTAGTTCTGCACACAGCTTGCCTCAATCTTTACTGGTAAGAACAGCCTTAAGATATCCCAGGCCCCTGAGACCAGTGGGGAAACTCTGGAACAAGAAAGACTTGCCCTTGGTGGAAGAAGATCATGTTTCGGAACACTTAAACAAGCTGGACACACTAAGTCCACAGGCTCTGATGGGATGGACCCGTAAGTGCCAAGGGAGCTGGCCAATGTCACTGCAAGGCCACTCTCAATCTTTGATATTATTGCATGGCAACCAGGGGACGTTCCTGAGGACTGGAAGAAAGCAAGTGTTACTCCCATCTTCAAGGAGGGCAAGAAGGACAACCTGGGGAAGTACAGGCCAGTCAGCCTCACCTCTGTCCCTGGGAAGGTGATGGGAAAAGTAATCCTGGAAACCATTTCCAAACATATGAAGGGCAAGAAGGTGACTGAGAGAAGTCAGCATGGATTTACAAAGGGGAAAAGTCATGCTTAACCAAACTCATGGCCTTCTACAATGAGATGACTAGCTTGGAGGAAGAGAAGAGAGCAGTGGATGCTCGTTATCTTGACTTTAATAAGGCTGTTGACACTGCCTCACAGAATATCCTCATAGATCAGCTGATAACCCAGGGATCAATGCCGTACTCTAACATTTTGTTAATGACGTAGATGATGGGACAGAGTGCACCCTCAGCAAGTTAGCTGATGATACAAAACTGGGGAGAGTAGTCGATACACCAGGTGGTTGCACTCCATTCAGAGGGACCTCACCAGGCTGGAGAAATGGACAAACAGAAAAGGTTCAACAATGAGAAATGTAAAGTTCTGTACCTGGAGAGAAACAACCTCATGTACCAGCACAGGCTGGGGACTGACCAGCTGAAAAGCAGCTTTGCAGAAAAGAACCTAGAGGTCCTGGTAGACACCAAGTTGAACGTGAGCCAGCAACGTGCCCTTGCAGCAAAGGCGGCCAAAAGCATCCTGGGCGGCATTAGGTAGAGCACTGCCAGAAGGTTAAGGAAGGGGTTCCTCCCCCTCTCAGCAACGGTGAGATCACATCTGGAGTCCCATCTCCAGTTCTGGGTCCCGCAGTACAAGAAAGGCATGGGCACGCTGGAGCAGGTCCAGTAAAGGGCCACAAAGATGATTAAGGGTTTGGAGTATTTCTCAAACAAGAAGAGGCTGAGAGCTCGTGGTGTTCTGACTTGAGAAGAGAAGGCTCAGGGGAATCCTATCAATGTGTATAAATACCTGATGGGAAGGAGTAAAGACGACTGAACGAGACTCTTTTCAGTGGTATCCAATGGTAGGACAAGAGGCAGTGGGCATAAACTGAAACACAAGAATTTCTGTTTACATATAAGAAAAAACTCTTTTATTGCAAGGGTGATCACGATCTCTCTGGGCAACCTATTCCAGTGTTTGCAGTGTACATCCTTGGAGATATTCAAAACCCAAGACTTGGTCCTGAGCAGCCTGCTCTAGCTGACCCTGCTTGGAGCAGGGGGTTGCATTAGACGACATCCAGAGGTTCCTTCCAACCTCAACCATTTTGCGATTCTGTGAAGTGAAGACGAACTGCAACACGCGTTGAGATATGTCTAATGGCAAGACAGACAATAGTAACAAAGACAGGGAAGCAAAAACTTCAAGTACTAGCAACCGCAAGTACTGCAGTATATACCCTGTATCTCCCAAAGTCTGTATGGTAGTAGCCAGTTGGATCTGTTAAGGCCCATCCTACCGTATCAGGATAGCAGAAATATCGAGCTTTTTAAAAAAGTTACTGCATCACAAACTAAAAATTCATGATGCTTCCTATTTTTTTCATGTTCGTACTGAAAAACGGAAAAGCCAGAGTACTGTGGGCCTAGAAACACAGCAAAAACCTCCAAATTCTCACGAGTAAGAGTGCTGTTTCTCTGGAGCATGGCTGAATAGCATTCATGCTTTCCAGCTTCCAGAAACATTGGACTTGGACCCTGCATTTGACGACGATGAAGAGAAGCTACAGGTATTTAGAAAGAGAGAATTATAAACGTGACTTCAAAGAAGAAAAACAAGCCCTGGGGTCTCTCTGAACATACTCCAAAGTAATTAAGAATGTCATGAACCTGATTTTTCAGAAGGAACGTGATATCTTATAACTGTGTTCTGGCATTAAAAAAAAATAAAGTTTGCTGCAGGAGTGATTTATCTGGAAAATAAAACAACACAACAAAAAAGTCAGATAAATACCTACTAAATGTTTATAACATTCTGTTCTAATTTAGGATATTTAGAAGATCTGTATACATTCAGATTAGACAATCACGGAATAAAGACAGCAGCAGCCTCCTTGTTAGTACTCGCAGAAAGACACTTATAGCAAGTTTCATTACAAGAATTGCTTACAAAACACTATCAAACAAAGAGCCAGCAGCTTTGGTGTATATACTTTACTTGTCTGAGAGCTGTCCTGATATGAAGGATCCAAATAGGACACCCACAAAAAACAGGGAGGTACTGAAGGGTCCCTTCCAGTCGTCATCACACACGAGATTCCACTGCAAGGAGAGAGACACTCTTTAAAGAGAGAACACAAACATTTTTTAATAAATAGGATTCCTCCTAAATGCCTTGGCTGAGCCCAGATAATGAAAGTATAGTACAGTTCTTCAGAAAAATCTCAATTCTGTTCTTTGGAATACAAATTTAAATATACACCAAGCAAACCAAGATTTCCATAACAAAAACAGTCTTGGAAAAAAGAGGAAGAAAAAAGGCATTTATTAAACAAAGACTGCAATAACTTGCAATCTCTCACTTGCTTCAGAGCAGTTTGATGCTTCTGGAATAACATGCATGTTATTCAAAATCTGTATCAACAGCTGTTATTGAAAGAGTCTTAATTTTATTTGTTATCTGGAAAAACTGTGTAAATATTAAAAGAAAGCAAGCAAGCAGCAGGGACGCCTTGCCCCTTACCTCCCTGTTGTGCTATGGCTGCAAGAGGTTTCAGGGCTCTCCCCTTCGGGGGCCGGGGCCGCTCGCTCCTGAGTCTGCTCGAGGAGATGGCAGGAGGTGATGCAGCCTCACAGGAGGCCAAACACAAACAGGGAATTTAGAGGCAACCAAACTCTACTTCTGACGCCAGGCCAAATCCTCTTGACCTTATTTATTCAAACAGCTCCCACAGGGTCCCTTCTGATGTTTTAGGAATGGAAACTTTTAGGGATTTAATTTGCATGAAAATAGTTGAAACAAAATTAAAATATTACATTGACTGCAATGATTAATCCCCTTCCACCTTCAAATTAAACAATTACATAGTGTTTTTTCCTCTTAGCTTTTTAAATTCGCACTGGAGCAAATATCAGCGCTTTGACCGGCCCTGCAAGAAAGCCAGGCTGCTGCGTGTCTGAAATCAGCAGTCTACCTCGTTGACGCTCTCTGGCCTGGTAATGCCAGCCTTTCAGTTTGTTTGCTGGCCATTTGTTGAATGCCCACAGGAACTGGCTTTTTCCTTCTCTCTTTTCACAGAGCTATCCCCTCTTCCCTTCTTTGTAGTTTCCTTACCATTAAACTTTTGACTCGGGCATCTCACAAGCCTCAGCCTATTATAGGTCACGCTGCAACTTGCTCTGGTTTTCAAAAGCCTTTCCAGTTTCACACGACGTTCTGAACCGCAAACACTAACACTCAATACAGTGGTCCAATAAATCCTACCAGCACCACCACTGCACATCCTTACTGAAGCTCCTTTCAGAATCACAGCTTTCTAATGGCTCACAAGTTTATAGCGCTTAATAAGGATTTACCCTACTATGGTTATCTTACTGTAAGGGATTTATCTTACCACAGTTGCATCATTTTGACTGAAAATTGTAATAAACACAGTTGCAATAAACCTCTACTTCTTCAACAAAAAGCTATACTTCATTATAGATTAAGGAAGGTTTAAACAATTCTCACAGTTGTTCATTGAGCCTAATCCGGCCAGGAAACTTCAGCAGAGTTTACCTAGCATCTTGGAAATATGCAGCAAATTATTATCAAATTTCAATAGCCAAAAGTTTCAGTCACTACCAAATATCTTCACTGGATCACATTTATTGGGATAACAAATACTACTCTCAGTAGAAATCTTGCATTAATAAAGACTTGCCTATTCACAGACTACCCTTTGTAGCAGCTACTGGAACTAGACATCTTCTTCAGTATTAGAACTAAAATCTCACTAGCCAAAGATTTAGCAAAGTCATTATTTCTCAGCTGGTAACTCTGCAGTTGTGAATTAGCTATCTCCTTTCATCTATCGTCCTCTCTGTACTTCGACACATAAGTTGCACAACACTTGGCTTTCCACTGGCATGCTTGCGCTCAGCAATAAACACTTTCTTATGACCACTGAGTTAGAGACATTGCTTGGAAAAGTTCACTGGATTAAAACATTTTGCATTGCCCTGCCAAAAGCTTATTGCATTGGCAAGTGGAGAGATATCAGCCTTTAAAATGCCACTCTGATTACCATCTTGTTTTTCTGTCCACTCCAGTAACACAATTTTAGGAGCTGTTTCGCTCAAGAGCAATTCAACCAGGCACGAAAGCAAACAACTTGCATATCAATTTTCCAAAAGACGACGACTGTCTTGATCATGAAATGGCAGTTATTAAAGCCATAAAGAAAACCTAAGGTCATAAAACTCCACACATGCACAATGAAAACAAAAAGATTTTAAGGTCCATTACTGCAGTAACTCAGTGCTGAAGTCTTCAGCTTTTCAATGACTTACCAAAGAGCGCTACTGTATGGCTCCTGCCAGCGATGAGGCATCAGTCTTCTAAATTCCCCAACGAATCTGTCCCTGACCTGTACGTTGCCCAGAAAAATGGCACTGATGTACCACTGCTGAAGACCAGCATTATTAAGAGCAAGTATCCCTGGGTTACTTACTGATGGAGTTCTGCTGATGGTGGTGCTGCTCACTACGGGTCGGGACACAGTATATCATGATCAAGTGCTTGAGAACCATGTCCAATTTTCTTTTCTAGTGTCCTGCTGGATATCATAGCCTTTGCCCCAGTGAATAAGATAAGGTTAACCTCAGCAAGTTATCAGGGCTCCAAACGGGAGGAAAAAACACAATTCAGCTTTGCTTCTAACAGCAGTTACCATCAAGTTCCTAAACACTGACACCCAACACTTCAGACACGGCACAAGGTGTTCTCACTAAATCTTATTATGATTTTGCAGGAGGACATTTTCTGCTGCAGTTTAAACTTGTTTTCTTACTCAAACAGCTTATAGCTACTTTGACTGGGCTGTAACTATGTCCTGAACAGTTCACCAGGTTGGGGTGATGTCTTTGCCAGCAGCTTCACACCCAGCAGCAGTAATTGCCCACGTGCTGGGGCTGGGCTGCGCCATGAGAGGAGCCAAGCACTCCACAAAGGATCCAGGGCTGATAAATAAATTCAAAATCCCTTGCTATGTGGCAAGACTAGTTATAAAACTGGGGAAGAAAAAAATCCAACCAAACAAAATCCCACCAAACCACTCCCTTAGCGCCTCCCTCCCCCTTTTATTAGCTTCCAGGCTTTTATCAAAAAAGAAAAAAAAAAGGAACAAAAAGTATTACTGTATGTTTAGTCAGAATTACACTAAGCAGCGTAAGTAGAAGTTTAACTGTCAATCTGGCTAGACTGGTATTTCCTATATTCACTTGTCATATGCCTGTCCAATACTAAACTGAATGTTAATAAAACATCTTTAGCCACAAAGTTTCATTCAAACTGCAGTCACAATGAAACTCACACACCTCCAAGATGAAATATTTGAACTCTTTGAACTCAGCAAACTGGGCAATAACATCCAAAGCATAAAATAAAGATATTAAACTAAAACTGCAAGGGAAATTCAGGCAGACACAACGCCACACATCCAGCTGAAGATATGGCCAGACTACAAGTAACAAGTTTGGTTCTTCTAAGTTCTCTAGGAACTTCAGAAGTCTCAAGAGACCAGGGCTACTATATTTTGTGCGTATAGGCTCTGCAGCCATTGCGCTTGCAGAATACCGCTTGCCTCAAAAGGAGAGCTGGCTCTTTATGAATTACCAACACTAAAGCCTGCAATGGCTCCCATCCAGACACTTATGCAGATCCCCTAGGCTGCTTAACTTCTACTGCAGTTTTGTCAACTTCAAAGAGAGCATAACAGAAACCAGCGAAAATCCAGCTGCTAACAACAAGAGTCTAATCATATTTCATCTTAAAATTGCACAAAAATTTGTAATGCATTACAACATCAAAAGTGCAAGTCTAATTAAAGATAAACTCTTCCAAAAGTCAAGTTCTTGCAATACAGTATCACAGCAAACAAGAACTCCATCATCAGCTTATATGTTTGGAAAGTTACAAGAGAAACTGCAAGGCCAACAATATTATTTATGACCTTACATGAAACAAGCACTTTTCTCAGATCACAAAGAGCTGTTCCACTGCAAAAGCACTTGTACTTCCCTAATAGCATTACCAGAACCATAAACAAAGACGGACTGTGACAAAAATCAAATACTTCAAGAGGCTCACTCAGTTACAACCCAGTTATATTAGGAAGATTCTTCTGAATTTTACAGTTACGCTATTTTGTGCCCCTCCATCCTTTTTCTTTTTCATTTTTTAAACATTTCCTACTGTTGCAGAGAAGAGAAGGGAAGTGGGATACTGATGTACTAATATTTTCTTTTTAAAAATCAAAATATTGGCAAGAATTTGGGAATCTTATTCAATATACTGTACTCTCTCCTATCACTTGCTACTCTGTAAATAGAGGTAGGTTCTTCAACAGATCTAGCATTCTCACCACTCAGCACTTATGAACTTTGATTCAGAATCTGTTCTTATTTATATCCATGCAAATACGGTACTCACCACTTAATGAAGAGCTGTGAGTGTATTAAACATCTGTTTTTCTGAGACTACATCTATATGTATATCAAGCACTCAGAAGTTCTAGAAGATCTATGACAGCATATTAAGTTATCTAAAAATGTAAACAGATGTCTGTATCTGAAAAACATATATGGTATTTAATTTCTCCCCAGTAGCTGTTTTAAACTTTTTAGAGAGGAAAAACTTGCACAGACCACTGAGAAAAGTGCTAAACATTTTACATTTCCAACGAAACTTAACTTCCCCCCATAAAACACATTTTTGAGAGAAAAAGAAAACAAGGTACTGACATCAGAGACAGAACTATCAGAAGACCGTTCATTTAAAATTGAATGCAGCGTAACAGGAACATTATCCTATCATTACACAGTCCACGGTATGTCAAAATGAGCATTGTTTCAGTTTTCTTTATATCAACTATAGACTATCGTTCTTTAAAAATACTGACCCTATTTGATGTTTTGAAGTCAGAAAGGTCTTTGGATTCAATTCACAAGGGTCCTGTATTATGCACTTAAAACTGCTGAGGTTTTCAAGATGTAACTTAAGTATTTCATTATGTCTGACAGCCATTCATGCTCATCTCATAAGCTGAAAATTGAACTTTTCTTTTTCTGACAAGAATAGCAATATAAAGATTTTGCAACTGGAACTCAGTTAAAAGTCATTCCATAGCTGTGTTAGCTGCTGGGACTGAAAAGCTGTCACTGCTAACTTTAACCAGAAAAATAAGCAGATCTTTCTGTGCCAAGAAAGAAGATGCATCGATTTTAAAAGATGATGAAACCGAATGGAAGTCCTGATGTGGCTTTTGGTCTACAAGGCCACCTGCACTAACATGAATGAAGAGCTCAGTGAGAGCTGAACCTGGATGACATAGCCTTGAGTTATACTTTGCTGCTGGCTCCGCTATTGGAAAAGCCCGTGGAAATTAAGATGCCTAACACGAGTCCAGGAGTTTTTTGGTAAAGAGAAAAAAAGCTCCACCTTCTTTCTGTCTTCCAACAAAAGGTAAACTTCAAAACCCCTAGTGACACACCTGTACACAATACTCATTTGTGTCATTTCAGATGTTGCTGCTCCAGCCTCAACTTATTCTTTCCTGAAGCTCTGGCATAACTTACTATTCTTCAGGAACCAAGGTTTGACAGCACAGCAGGGCCACTGAACCCCCTGGTAAAAAGGAAATGGGAAACTCAGGGACCTCAAACAGGCATGGCATCTTCCTCTCCCTGCACAGTCATGCAGGAGTCATAGTTCCAGCACTGCACCGGGCCTCAGGACATCTCTGTAGTTCCAGTGATAAGCACCCTTCCTCTGCAAAAAACATCAGTAGCTGAAATCTGTTAAGAACAACCCTAAAGGCGACTTGTAAGGCAAGTCTGCAATACAAAGAGATGCCTCTAATGAACTGATTTCAAACTGATAGCAATACAAGACATGTTCATCATCAACTTTTTAAAAATGTATACACAAAATTCTGTTTCTATTTATGTTCCAGTATGTAAGAATTACTCCCATATAGACTAAAGTGATTTGATCACTGTATCGTCTAAGAATATACCCAAGAACAGTAACCTCATTGCATCATTTTTCTAGTCCTCTATTTAACTTTACTGCTAAATTCTATTCCTAGTTACTCTGCAGAGCCCCAAAAGAGACACTGGGCGTTCACCGATGCGTCCGTGATAAGCGTAAACGAAGCTTTGCTTATTCCTCAACATACAGTATTTCAAAAAGTCAAAGATGAAAAAGGATTTTGTTACACACAAAGCAGTTAATTACTCCAGACTGATTAACAACATTCTCCTGCTCAGTCTGCAGAACTGAGAAAAGAAAATCTGTTTTTAACTGAGAGAGAACGTAATGTTATAAGCTTCCTCTTACCCCTGAAAAGCAGAAACATATACGAGGATCTTTCTCTAAAGTCATGAGAATCTCAAGTAAAAACCTTCCTTGGGGAAAAAAAAAACCCAAAACCCTTCCCCCTCCCAGTGTCAACAACAGAAATGTGGGACAAAGGTCCTCATGATTATTCAACAAGTTAGAGATAAGCAATTAAACTCAAGATTAGTGATTCATAAAAACAGCAGCACCAAGCCAAGAAATTAAACTAGTTTAACGTTGAAAACTTGAAAGTATGTGAAAGGCCACAGCTCTTGCAAAACTGGCTCAGAAACATTAATATAAAAGGAGGAAAAAAAACCCCACTGCCTCAATGCATGATGTCTTGGCAGCGAAACACGGCCTCCCGCAGGCACAAAGTATCTGCCAAACCATACAGACAGCACAGGAGATTTGCTGTAGATTTCTGGAAAAATGTTAGCAACTTTCATTTCTCATAGATCATAAAATTTCCGGAAGATAGTTGATAATTAAGATATGCAAATTTGCACTGAGTTAGAGCTCAGAAAGACAAACTGAAATTACATCTAAGCCAGGTCAATTGCTACACTTAGCCGCAAACTGGAAGGCCGACTGCTTTATATTGCCTGTAACAGCGCACCAGACTTTCACAATAGTGTATTTCAGTAACGACCAGAATCTAGAAATTCAGTTTTCTTCTTCAGGAACAGAGCAGCTTTTTAGAAACAGGTCAAGTAACACCGTCAGTCAGTTGTCAAAATCACTCAGGCCTCAGCCACTGTCTAAGTTCAAAAGCAGTTTTCAGCAACTGAAGTTTCACCATACGCATGCTGGCCTGTGCGCTGGTATGCGCGTGGCTTCTCCCACGCGCTCCCTTCCTCACCCAGTCCTCTTCCCGAGGAGCGTTTCGGGACTCAGACCAGCTTACCTCCATCAGAGAGCAAGCACGGGAACATCCACCACTACCCGTTCTGCGGAGCAAGAAATAAAGGCCTTTGGGTGGCAAATTTAGCCACTGTTCTGCAAAACTCGTTCACAGACGCAAACGGGCAATTCAGCTGTACAAACGGCTTATAAGCCTTTGCAAAAAGCTACGTTTTGAAATCCAAATATTCCTTGCGATCCATTTGCTTGTATCTTAAGTCAATCCAAGCCTGCAGAGCTTTCAGCTCAGACAAGAAGCATCATCAGCACAACTTCACCTTTGGTTTCCTTGACTGGAGAGGTGATTTGCTGAACACAGTTCAGCAGATGTGAATCCTGACATGCTCCTGGAAGGTAGGGCGGAGAAGCAAGCAAGGGGCAAGCATGACGCTGACACACAAAGTTCATGGCTCTTCTGGACACAGCATCAGAACAGGGCTCTCTTATCGCACCAGACTGCTGCGTCTCCTACAACTCCGATGACTCCTACCACTTTTTGTTTTTAAAGGAAACAAATAAACCCCTTTCATCTCATGAGCTCAAAGAGGCACCTTTGATCTAAGCAGCCAGCTGCACCCACTGTTCCCCTGTTGACCCTTTGTGCTCGCTACCTCACTTCTGAGGACATCAGATGAAACCAATTAAGCAGTTAATATACAAACGCTGCCCAACAACGGGGAAAAGTCACCGCATTTAGAAACCACTTTTGCAAGTGAAAATTAAGAGAAATTCATTACATTAGCTCTCAAATACGTTTGGCATGCCAGCTGCAGAAGCTAGGACGAGTCTAGGGCCAGGACTCCAGGCCGCTGAAAACCAGCATCAGAAACCAGTGCTGTGGCAGGCACAGAAGTTTCTTCGGCCCTGCTGTGAAGACACACACCAGTAAAAGCTCTCTGTAACTCTAAAAAAGACTCCTTTGGCTTCTTGTTATAGATCTCAAATGAGGGCGG